TTAATGTATTAGTTGTTATGTGAAATTTTGAAATCAAATTTTACTAATTTATCATACATTAAAGTTTCATCATAAATCCGTCACTAAATTTATCGCAACATATTAAAACCATTTATTCATAATTTTTATCATAAAATCTGTTGATAATTCATCATTATTGAGCAAAATGAATGATAAAAAATTGTGATGTATATTCTTTTTGTTACATTTGCAACTATTTTGGATGATGAGAGTTTTTTTAATCCACGAAATTTTACGAATCTTGAACTACAAAATGAAAAGTAATTATATATATATATCGTATCTTTCATTTTAAAGATTCAAATATAAAATATATCGTGTATATATATATAGATACGTAAATATGAATGAGATATTTATGTATATATATATATACATATTATTGTCTTTTATGTGTGACCTAATTAATAATAAAGGTGCATGTGTGGCTTGAATACGAGTCATAATGCTGCATCTGTTAGTGAGGAAGGCGGGCTAGCTCTCACCAGCAATTCTTAGGGCATACTCAAGAGAGCCAATGAATTTCTCATTTAATTGATAAGTAAAATTTAGAAGCTTTAAAAGAAAGAATTAAATATTATGTAGGACCACACCACACCTGGCTAGGTATTTTGGACTTTGGAGTAAGCACCCACACTAGCATTATCACTTCCAATTTAATTTAATTATTATTTTGTTACTATTTAATTTTAATAATTACTATTATATTATCATATTTTTAATATCTCAATTTGAGAATAATAAAAATAATTGTAAATATTAAAATTTAAAATTTAAAATTATTAAAAATCAATTAACTTAAAATTCGATATCCAATCCATTATGATTTATAACCAAACAAAGAAGTCATTTTGCTTAGTTGCATATTCTTCTTATCCAATGCCATGTGGATGTTGTAATCAAAGATTCGTTCATAATTAATAGCTAGTTCCGTAATATTCCCCTTAATTTATTATTTATTTATTATTAATGGGGGACAAACACGACAATTCTGCTAAAACCATAGAAATTATTGAACTTCAATTATAATTAAATTCTCTTTGGATTAATTTCAAGAAAATTATCATGTTAGTGAAAAGTCTTAAGCTCCTACAAACAAGTTACTTACCTAATCAACAGTCAGCATTTTACTCTATTTATATACCACTCAAGCATGTGATGTGATCAATTGATAAAACTCACTTTTAGATATTTTGGTGATCAGGAATAATAATAATAATAATAATTAAAACAATAGATTGGAATGTCTAATTTTGATATAAATTAATAAAAATTTAAAATTTTAATATATATGAGATAATATTACATCAGCAATATCGATCAATATTGCTGGATGATCCTTAAATTATATCTTATAATTAGATAAAGTAGCATTTAGTTTGTGATAATATAATTTGCCGATATTAAATAACAATATGATATGTTAATAAAATATTAAAATTTTAATTTCAACGATCAAAATTTATTTTTTATCAACTTCAAATATTAAAAAATACCAATTATTAATTTTCTAAAAATAAAAAACATTGCTAAAGAAAAGATTTATCATCTGCCTTAGAATTCATGATTACCCAGAGAAAAGAGTAGCATTGGTCACATTCCACCACCATTTTAGACTTGGAGGAAAAAGAAAAATGGAAGTTAGTGTAGTTGATGATGATTCTTGTTTACCTTTCTAACCACTATTAATTCTAATCAAAATTGCCAATTATTTTCCAAAACCCTGTAACTAAATTGCATCAAATTTCTGCCGCCAGACGCGGTGTAATTATACTTTAGTTTTGATCAGCAGGAAAATTTCTCACATAATCATACGCACCTAGAATTTCATCTTGTCAGTTCAAGGTCCAAGGAATTGAAATTTTGAATTAAAAAAAAAAATCAACTATAGTAAGATCTAATAATTTTAAACTCAATATAATAATACGATATAAAATTAATATAAAAAAATATAAAAGTGATATAATTTAAAAGTTTATCAAAAATTATATATAAATATATTTCACGTTTGATGTGTCAAATATAAATTTGATATGATAATTTTTATATTTTATATATGTTAAATACGAAACAAACATAATACATATACACATATTATCATATTTAATTTTAACGAGTTAGGTGAACGATACATTAGATAATCATTACTAGATAATAATTTCAGTGAATCTAACTCTGAGTTTATGGGTGATTTGCAAAGATATGATGACTAGTAATTATACGAAAATGTTGGCATATTGAAAGCTGGTCTCCTTCAGAATATTTCTTGCAAAATAAGATCCTAGCTAGATTAGTTTACACACCTTTAGGGCGACTAAAGTTAGGAAAGGTCAAGCAAGTCTAATCCATAGCTGACATTGAAAGGAAACTAAGAAACCCACATTGAAAAGAAAGTTGGGTCGGAAGGTTTGGAATAGGAACCTTAAAAGGTTTTTCATACCTATGATCAATTGCATCATCATATCAACTATTATGATTATTGATTAACAAAAGGTTTCCCTCAATTAATCATGTTAATCAAGGTTAACAAAAGTTTTACGCTAATTCATGTTACTCGCAAAGGTTAGTTCAAAAGATATTTGTGTCAAAAAAAAAGCGGTTAGAAGTAAAGAAAAAAAATATTTTTTGTATTTGTATTTCGATGTACAAGTTAAAAATCAATAAAAAAAAGATCAGAAGGAGAAAAAAATAAAGAATTGAAAATAAAATGAATTAGAATGATAATAATTGAGTATTTATATTTATAGATAGAAGGTGAGAGACTCTTGAAGATAAAAATGATATGGCCAAATTGATGTGATATTAAATATGTCAAGTTGATTCGACATGTCAGATTAATCTAAATATCCAAAATGTTATTAATTGATATAATCTAATAAAAAAAAATCAAAATGCTTTTTGGACCACTAAATGCTCTTAACAAAAGGATCATAAGGAGAAAAAAAAAGAATTGAAAATAAAATGAATTAGAATGATAATAACTGAGTATTCATATTTATAGATAGAAGGTGAAGAATTCTTGAGGATAAAAATGATATGACCCAATTGATGTGGTATTAAACATGTCAATTTGGTTCGACATGTCAGGTTAATCCAAATATTCAAAATGTCATTAATTGACATCACCTAATAAAAAAAAAAGATCAAAATGCTTTTTGGACTACTAAATGCTCTTAACAAAAGGCATTAATTAGATTTTGTGAAATTCATTTCATAATATATTAGTTAAGAGAATACATTTTTAAAATTATTAAAAAAATTTAGATTCAAATAAAATTTAAGATATCCTAACCTTATCATATAAAAAAAAATCATGTAATCAAGGTTAATCAAGCTTTTTCAAAGTTTTGAATTCACTCAATCCCTGATCGGATTAGTGCAACTTAAATATCCTCTTTAGAAAAGGAAATGAAAGGTTTAAAGGAAATGAAAGGGAAAAGTTGACAGATTCTTCACACAAAAATGAAAGTAGTGATTTGCATTTAATTACGAGCTGTGCCATCAAGTATTTGGTAATAGTACAAGGACAACTACTATTATGATTGAGACTCCTTATCAAGGGGGCGATACCATGTTATTGTTGCTATAAATTCGATTAAAACAAGACTTATGGCTTTTTTTAATCACGGCTAAATACTAGGATAGAACAGGTCAGGTTATTTATATTAGAATCAATTTAAATAAGTGATGAGATTAATTTTGATTATATTAAAATTAACAGTCATAATAAGATTAATTATTATAATAATAAAATTAATAATTAAATTGTATATTTAGATATAAATGCAATATAACGGTGAAATTGAGTATAAAATCAACTATTCAGACAATTGATTGTCATAATTAAAAGTATCTATTGTTTTAATTTTACACTAAACAATTAATTACTCTCCAAATTTTAATTGGAGAGACAGTATAGTTGGGAGCCTCCAATTGCAATGAGATGCTACTAAAATGCATTCCACAGAACGTGACAGAAAGCAAATGAGGTTTAGCGAGTCATAATGATCTTTATATAAAGATAAAAGAGTAACTTAATTTCGTATTATGCTTAAAATTATCAAGTAAAGTTGAGGGTGCTGTAATATTTTATGTCAACTTGTCAAAGAATTTGTTGTTTTATTATAGTTTTAATGACGAAAGCCTCTCTATATCTATCAGTAAGCATGAGAAGTAGTAATTGGATTTGAACGAGGTCCTTGACTTCAAATGAAAATAGAAAAAGGGTAAATCATTGGAATTTTTTAAAGAATATATTCCAATCAGATATACTGTTTCTGCAGATTAGAATGGTGTAGCTCCACTTCAGTGGAGTTTTATCCTTTTGACTGCCTAAAGCTTTGTTTCTTGACCATTATTTTTCGAGATATTGCTGTGCAACGTCACTCCAGCAGCATCTCAAAGTTGCAGACAGGAATATCATTAACAGCCAAATGAAGTGACAGAAAGACATGGCAATGTTCTTCACCTCAGCTAATGAGATACATTGTTTTGTCTATATTTCAACATTACAAGTTGGGACGAACATAGATTTTGGAATGCTAAAAGGTGAGTTAACAGAAAGGAACAATTTACAGGCCGATGGATACTGTCTGTGTGACACCACTCCCCCAGTACATATGCACAGAAAGTTCATCGATTGTAAAATGCCAGATCCTTGTAGCCACTATATTTACATTAAAAAATAAGCTCATTTTAAAACAAGACAATTCATGTATTCATTTAATTTATTTACTGTTAAATATATGTTAAATACAAAAATTATTTTATCATAAATTCATAATTATGTCAAACACAACAAACGTGGATGAGAAGTCAATTTTATTTTTTTTCTCACCCATATCCAAAAAACCTCATGATCGTAAAAGGCAAGGATGCTGGGTTAAATTCGGACAATGAAACATGTTAGCAAGTTGTAATTCACTAGGTAAATATTTGATGGGAATAAATCGTCCTTTAACAAGAGTGGCAAGCAGTAGTTTCATATACAAGTATGCAAATTACAGGCATATAAAACTATAAAACGGCTGCTATTATTTACAAACAAATCCAACTGAATTATGTAAGTATATATTTAATTTGTCTTGTTAAATAAGACTAAAAGTAAATACTAACATGATCTGTCCCAAACTGACACCCAAGCTGTTTGAATCTAATGCAGTCAAGATATAACACCCATTCTTGGTTTCAACTGATCAACCCTTCTCTGTTCTGTTCAGAAGAAATAATGGTTTGAATTAAATAATCTATCAAACTTATAATTAGACAAGAAACGAAATTTGTAATACAACTTAATCAGATATACATCTGCATGATGTCCGGCCAACAGTGCGGACCTGGTCCTGCATGTATCCCTTTACAGACTATCGATTTGCATCAGCACAAGAATTTTCTAAATCCAATCACTAGATATCTGAATTATGTGTATAAACAGCAACAGCTGATATTATATTTATGTTTTTCTGTTTAATGTACTACATCCTCTAGTCTTAAATTTCAAAAGCTCTAAAAGTAGCAAATGTAGCTAAATTAATTGATACAACATTGAGACCTAAAAATCTTTTTTTGTACTGACATAAAATCCTGCAAGTTGTTTTATCCAATAACTATAGTTTCTATCTAATAATAGCATACTAGCAAGAAATGTTGACTAGGTAATTTAGAAAACCTCTAACTTAAAAATTAAAGAAATGGAGAGCATCACATCGAATAACATCAATGACGTTAACAGCACGTGTTTCAGTGCAGAATAAACAAATTAGTCTAGTTTTGACTTCTGAAATATATTTGCCCATATATGCACAATAACCTTAATAGATGTTTCAAAAGTTGAGTAGGGCACTATCAAAAGTCTGCTGTAAGACTGAATCTTACCAGAACTGTGAATGCAACAGAGTTATAGATCAACACCCTCATCAAGGCCTTTAGAACCGATCATCACATTAGAGTCAATTTGCTTGTCAAACTTCTTCTTCCTCCTTGCTTCAAATTCTTGGAACCCATCCATCTATATATATATATATATATATATATATATATATATATAATATTTTAGTTAATTAAAGCATATGAAGCTTTAGTGCTTTTTCTGGAAAACTTGAACCACATCTGGCAGTGAATCATGGAGATACTTACTTGCTGAAACTGATCCATTGAAATAGGATTGTCATGTAGTGAGATATTCTGGAGAGCTTTGCAGTCTTTCAATATATTAGGAGGTATCTGTCAACCAAGAGTTATCAGAGTATAACAGAAACAAAATACAAAACATTGCCCTCAACAAGTGTTTATTGAACAAAAATCATAGAAAGCTATGACTTTTTTGTTTTTTGGGTACAATTATTTGGGGGAAAGTATCCACCCTCTATGTTAATAAGGTAAGTCCACTTAAATTTTTTAGAGTGATTGCTGCTTCTACTTTGCTCATAATTGATTGCAAAGACTATAGTTGCCCACATGGTACACAAACAGCCATGTCATTGCATGAACCTCCATGTTCACATAGAATCGCACAAACAGCAGCAGAAAGTTGCACTATCCTTTCTACATCATAAATCATGCCGACTGGCATGCTTTGAAATACTGGGATACTAATAAATAAGATCTTCTTTCAGACCGTAAAATGGATAAGTTTGAGGAACAAGAAATAAGAGCCAGTTGTACAAGCTCTCCAATGTTAAAGAAATGCATATAAGCAACACTGCAATTACAGTGATCAGCAAATTTGCAGTTGAAACTTTGGGAATCTTGTTTATAGGTATCTTGCGTCAATGTCACATTAAAGAGCTTCAGATGGTACAACAAACATTTAATTCTCTTCCATAGAAATTCAAGGTTAGTTCGATTATATTGTGATTGGTAAGTTGCGATAAACATTAGACCTACCTAACCTGCTCAAATCTTTGTATTCAGCCATATTTATACATTTCATCAATTAATTCCAATTGTTGATCATATAGAAGTGTTCATACAAAACAACCATAAGGGCTCTACCAAAATCTGAAGGCTTTCTATGAAAGCTTCCCAATCTAGAAGAAACTATAATAGGAAATATTGACATGTTTCTAGAAAAACATCAGAGGAATCAGAATTTCTAATAGAAACAAGCATACAGGTTGCTGATCCTTGTTTAACCAGCACAACTTATACAAAGGACAATAAAAAATCTACCAGTGTCATCATGCAGCACGAAGAAGTTAGAAAATGATGGGAAATGTGTAGCATCTACCTGGCTGACTTTGTTATTGTTTAAGCAAAGTGACTTTAGGTGAACAAGATTGCAAACAGATGCAGGAAGTTCTTCGATAAGATTATCTGCCAAGTTACACAAAATCATGAAGCTGTGAGTTGTAGAAATAGGATTAAAATACATGAAACTGTAGTGCCACAACTACTGTAGTCACTAATCATAAATCTATGTGCAACACAGAGTGCAGACTGGGCAAAGAACCAAGGGCGAATCTAGCAGGGCTGGCAAGGGTTGGCCCCCCCTAAGTTTTTTGACATCCTTAGAACACATTGCATTTTCATTTGAAAATAAGGTAAAATTATGGTGAGGCCCCTCCAAAGTTTTTTCATGTGACCCTCTCTTTATAAAATTTGTACTTTGACATGATAAACTTGTCAACACTTTTTTTTAGCCCTCATTCATTATCAATTAATTCTTTCTATTTTCCTTTTCATTCAATCAAATAGATACATTGATATTAATTATTGTATTAATCATTTTCATTCCATGCTCATAATGGAAAAACATTTAAAGAAAGTTAAATCACTTTAAACCACTACAATATCTGATACATATTGTGCATTTAACTCTTCCTACTTTTTCTAAAGGTATGTATCTTCTTCTTTTTTTATGAAATAATCCTATCCTTATTTTAGTTATTTTAGTTAAACTGGATTTTTTTTTACATTGAGACTTTATCGCAAATTGTCCAAATGGCATTTAACATCAGAACTAACAGATGAATTAACGGAAGGACCAATTCATTATGACTTTGAAAATATAAGTACCAACGAGTTACACATTGATTGGGGACCAAAATGATGTGACCCAAAGTTTAGGGACTGTGGGCGTAATTTACCCCTAAAGTTTTCATTTTGTGACAGTTTCTCGGAGATATCCTAATGCTGTTGCTAATAGCCCTTGCTAATAACAAAGATTAGGTACAAATAATTTACTTTATAAAGGCAAAGAAGAAAACATAGCACACAACAAGGGCAGAGAATAACTAGCATAAAATCTTACATTAAATTCATAAAACCAAATCAAAATTATAACAGGTTTTAAGATTTATGTTACTTTCATGAAGTGGTTTACAGAATCTCACTCAGTCAATAGACAACCCAAAGATAACATTTCTAAAAATTATTTAAGTTATTCTTTTAAAAAGAAACAAGCAGTTTTATAGTAGAAAAGTGAGAAATAGTAAATATGCATACATAAACATACCATTCGCCTGAAGTTCTTCCAAAGAAAAGCAGCTCCCAATTGATTCAGGAAGATACTTTAACTTATTATTAGACACATTAAGCAGAGACAACTGCATTACCAAACAACATAAATTAGATCCAGGAACTATCTGAAACATTCTTAAGCATATCATGTCCCCACTCATGTATTGTAGATTCAATCAGTGCTTTAAAGAATGTCTGATCCCTTTTAGTATTCTTTCTTCATTAACATTATCATTACTCACAAAATCAAAATAAGATCAAGTTGGCTGATCTCGAGATTATTACTTGTGCTTAAACCACGCAAATATGCAAATATTTGTAAAACCAAGGAGTAAAATGAACAGAAACACAAGGTTCATTGTTCACCAAGTAGAGTCACTTACATTGCGCAAGCTGCCAATAGTCTCAGGCAAGGAAGTTAACATATTTCCAGCGATTGATAACTTCTCAAGTCTCACCAGCTGGCCCACTGGGCAGAAGAAATGCAGTTAGAAGCTTGTGAGACAGTACACTTACCCCGTGAAGTTTGCAGATTTTGCCATGAAGCAAATCTGCAAACAATGGAGGCAAAGAAATGTATAATATTAGATTTTCTTACTTATTTAGAAAAGGATATTACATTCATCAGGCAAAGAAGTAATCTGGTTCCCATCAAGTATCATAACTTTCAGAGACTGAAGCTTCCCCAGATTAATTGGTAGTCGCTCAATAAGATTAGTGGGTAAGATCTGGAAGGGAAAAAAAAAGAAAAAGCTACTTTAAAAGGTAGCTAAGTTTTCAGTATCCTGATTTTAGGGAAAGAACTGAAATCTCTTCATCCACTACAATAAGCCAATATGCTAACAAGGACATGCAGATACTCATGTTAGACAAAATATATTCCAATAAGAATGCATTTTCTGAAGATAACAGTGCACTCTAATGCCCTAAAAGATAATGAACGCACAAACAATAAGCAAAATATAAAAGTGACATTAAAAAGTATGAAGAAAGCTCTACTTCACTTTCTTTCTTTCTTTTTTCCTTTAATTACTAAAATTGAACAGATACATAGAACAAAGGGTCCACCAACAAACCTAAAAATCAAACATAACAACAGCATAATTCGACATTTATGTGTCAAAAGGAGCTATACATATTGTAGACAACATTTGCAGGATTCTTACCAGACGCTGCATGTTAACTAACTTGCTGATCTCCATAGGAATTTCAACTGCAAGGAACGAGAAAGTTGACTAAGAACAGTACCTAAGAAAATCAAGGCTTCATAGAGCCAGGTTAAGAGATTTAAAAGAAATGATATTTGTTCTTCCTTTCTAAGGATGGCGTATTAGACTGACTTTGGCACAATCTACCATGAAAAGAAGCCTCTTTTGCCTGATGTGTTTCACAAGTAGGAAAAGGCCATACCTAATTTATTGTGCGTTAAATCAAGAGTTCGCACAGATTTATCCAGATCAAGAACTTCATCAGGAAATGTCTGTTCAAGTCAAAGCACACATCAGAAGCATACACACAAGGAACAAATGCAAGAATCCCCATTGGAAGTCATTTGAACTACCATGTTTCTCAACCAATAAGGCATAAAATTTGCAATAACAAATTAACATGAACCTGATCTATATTAATTGTAATTGATACCCACACAAAGGCCTACAGTTTAGATTAAGGCTCTCTTTGATTGCCGCTTTGGCTACTTGCTTTCAGAAAGGTGCTATAAAGCAAAAAAGAACTGCTAAAAAGAAAAACATAGTTGATTAAAAATAACCAAATAACAAAAAATACAATACCAGTTTTAACCTGATTGTTATATATAAAATTCAAAATCATGTATCATTTTCCAACATGACAATATCCTTGTACATATAAACAATAGACATTTATGCAGAACTAATATAAAGCTAAACAAACATAAGAAATTGCATTGAATTGGAACAGAATTGGCCTATCATCAGCAACTTAAGGACTCTTAAAAATTATAAAACAACATTAAACCAAAGAAATTAAGCAAGATCCAGAAACGATCATCATTTAAAATGTCTATATACTTCATCAAGTACTCAAAACATATATATAAAAGACAAAAAAATTATGAAAACCCGAGATAGACATAAGGGGCTTGCCTTCAATTTGGCGTCACGTAAAGCAACAATGCCAGTTGATCGCCATCGAGCAATCCTGTTAGCTTTGGAATCAGCGCTTTTACTTGGACAACATCCCATCTTTCTCTCTTTCTAAATTTTTCTTAGAAAAAAAAAGAAGGAGATTTAAGAGATGGGTCAGGAGCAGATGGGTCAACAAGGTCGCAAGTTTGGTTAAGTCTTCATATGGGGTTTTGGTTTTGCAGAACGAAAACCGCGTTGGTTTGGTTGAGTTTTGCGTGGGATTTTTGGCGTCAGTCGTTTTTTTTTTTTTTCTGATTTTGTCGTTTTGATACTAATTTGGTTGTCTTGTTCCGTTTTCTCCGCATATGTATCACTTCTATTCTTTTATTATATTATATATAAATTTATCATTTATAAATATAAATTTTATAAAATTTTGATAAATTGTACATAATTTTAATTTATAATTAAATGATTATATATTTATATTATAATAATTATAAGTGAAATATTTTTTTATCTCTAACATATATATTAATAATTTTAATATTTCATATTTTTAATATAAAATAAATACATAAATTATTAAATTTAATATTTAAATAATTTAATTTAAATATTTAATCAAAATATATAATATATATTTAATACATTATTAATGAATACCTCGTGTAAAAATATAAATCATTATAATTTATATATGATTTATATAAATTCAACTATTATAATATAATTCAAGGATTCGTAAATTTATATTATATAAAATATTAAAATTTATATATTTATAATATATTTATACAAAAATTATAAATTATAATTTATATAAAAAAATAAGGTTTATATTTTATTTTATTAAAGTTAAATATGATAATATTAAAATTTTATATTATTATATTAACTAAAAAAGGTCTCCAAGGGTTTTTTCTTTTTTTTTTAAAAAAAAGCCCACATTGACTGAGTTAACAGAAGATTATGTTGTAAGTTTAACCTTTAAAAAATTAATTCAACGTCGTAAGGGTTTTCTTACCCTCTCTGTTTCTAATTCAAAGCTTTTCCTATTTGATCTTCGTCTGATTTCTGATTCCATCTTTTATCAAAGGTAATGCAACATTGGGGTTCAATTAGAATTTATATCCCTAAATTTCATTTCCTTCTTATGTGTATAAATCGCTTCGAATTTCAGTTGTTTTCTTGATTTTTCTTTTGAAATTTTAGGGTTTCATATAGCCTATTCTTTTCAAATAGCTAGGATTCGTAAAAAGCCATATTCAACTGATTCTGCTGGTGTTTGAAGATCGATCTACCTTTGTAGCCTGCTTGATTTTGCGAAGTATATACCCATGATACCCAGTTCGAAATTCGAAGGTGGGGTAGGTAACTCTTTGAAGACTTGGGTCTCTGATAGGTTAATGTCATTGCTGGGATACTCCCAGCCTACGCTTGTTGAGTATGCCATTGGACTAGGTTAGTCACTGTCACCTTCTCTTCTTATGTACATCTAGGCATCTACAATAGATGATAAATAGTCAAAATATGGTATTTTTACTAAATTATTGCTGTTGCTGCAGCTAAGCAAGCAGCATCACCTGCTGATGTACTAGGCAAGCTAGAGGAATATGGCTTGCCATCCACAAGTGATGTTCGTTCATTTGCTCAAGAAATCTTTGGTAGAGTTCCTCGTAAAGCATCGGGTGAAAATGTGAGTTAATGTTTTATATTCGACTTAAAAGTTTGGCAAGAATCTTTTCTTTTCTTTCTTTTTTTTTTTTTTTCCTTTGTGCAACTGTAATTTTCGATGTAATTCTTTTGTCTGCTGTTATTCTTCTTATCATCAGCTTTACCAGAAACAAGAAAGGGAAGCTGCTATGTTTGCTCGGAAGCAAAAGACTTATGCAATTTTAGATGCTGATGATGATGAAGATGATGCCAGTATCAGTTCCAGTGTTCATCACCAGTCTTCCAGTGAGCTTGCTCCTGCTTCTGAGACTGGAAAAGGAGATAAGCATAAGAAACGATTCAGAAAGAAGATTGAAAGTGAAGAAGATGAAGATGATGAGGAGATCAAACGAGTAGAAGAAGAGAGACGACTTAAAAGACGGACATTGCAAGATGAGGATGATGGTTCAGAGTCAGAAGAAGAAAGGTTGCGTGACCAAAGAGAGAAGGAGGATTTAGAGAGAAATATAAGAGAACGTGATGCTGCATCAACTAGGAAGTTAATGGAGCCAAAGCTTTCCCGAAAGGAGGAAGAGGAGGCCATACGAAGATCTAAAGCTTTGGAGCAAGATGACATTAATAGTTTAAGGAAAGTTTCAAGACAAGAGTACTTGAAAAAGAGGGAGCAAAAGAAGCTTGAGGAGCTCAGGGATGATATAGAAGATGAGCAATACCTTTTTGATGGTGTGAAGCTTACTGAAGCAGAATATCTTGAATTAAGGTACAAGAAGGAAATATATGAGCTTGTAAAGAAGCGGTCTGAGGAGGAAGATAATATTGGTGAGTACAAAATGCCAGAAGCTTATGATCAAGAGGGGGTTGTTGACCAGGAAAAGAGATTTGCTGTGGCTCTTCAGCGTTACAGAGACCCTACTGCTGGGGATAAAATGAATCCATTTGCAGAACAAGAGGCATGGGAAGAGCATCAAATTGGCAAGGCCACATTGAAATTTGGCTCAAAAAATAAAAAGCAAACGTTTGATGACTATCAATTTGTGTTTGAGGACCAGATTGAGTTTATTAAGGCATCAGTGATGGATGGTGACAAGTTTGATAACGAGTTATCAACTGATTCACCTGAGACATCCAAGGCAAAATCAGAATTGGAGAAACTACAGGAGGACAGAAAAATGTTACCAATTTATCCATATCGAGATGATCTACTTCAAGCTGTTGAAGATTATCAGGTTCTTGTTATTGTGGGAGAAACTGGTTCAGGAAAGACCACACAGATACCACAATATCTTCATGAAGCTGGCTACACAAAACGTGGCAAGGTGGGTTGTACACAGCCTCGACGAGTTGCTGCTATGAGTGTTGCTGCTCGAGTTTCTCAAGAAATGGGTGTCAAACTTGGGCATGAGGTCGGTTATTCTATTCGCTTTGAGGATTGCACTTCAGAAAAGACTGTATTGAAATATATGACAGATGGTATGCTGTTGCGAGAATTGCTTGGTGAACCTGATCTTGCAAGCTACAGTGTGATAATGGTGGATGAGGCTCATGAAAGAACTGTGTCAACTGATATTCTTTTCGGATTAGTGAAGGATATAGCACGGTTTAGAAAGGATATCAAATTACTTATTTCAAGTGCAACACTTGATGCGGAGAAGTTCAGTGATTTTTTTGATTCTGCTCCAATTTTCAAAATTCCAGGGAGACGTTATCCTGTTGAGATACACTACACAAAAGCACCAGAAGCTGATTACTTGGATGCTGCAATTGTTACTGTACTTCAAATCCATGTGTCACAGCCACCTGGAGATATTTTGGTTTTTCTCACTGGTCAAGAAGAAATTGAGACAGCAGAAGAAATTTTGAAGCATAGAGTAAGAGGTTTTGGGACAAAAATTGCAGAACTTATTATCTGTCCTATATATGCCAACCTTCCAACTGAGCTTCAAGCCAAAATATTTGAACCTACTCCTGAAGGTGCACGCAAGGTAGTCCTGGCAACAAATATTGCAGAAACATCATTAACAATTGATGGGATTAAGTATGTCATTGATCCCGGTTTTTGCAAGATGAAATCTTATAATCCAAGGACTGGGATGGAGTCTTTGCTGGTAAGTCCCATCTCTAAAGCTTCAGCAAATCAACGTGCTGGTCGGTCTGGGCGAACAGGTCCTGGAAAGTGTTTTCGCTTGTACACTGCCTACAATTATTATACAGAATTGGATGACAATACACCACCAGAGATACAACGGACCAACCTTGCCAGTGTTGTTCTTTCTTTGAAGAGTCTTGGAATTCATGATTTGTTAAATTTTGATTTTATGGATCCACCACCAGCTGAGGCTCTACTGAAAGCATTGGAACTTTTGTTTGCATTGAGTGCATTAAATAAACTTGGAGAGTTGACTAAAGTTGGTAGGCGAATGGCAGAGTTCCCTCTTGATCCTATGCTATCCAAAATGATAGTTGCTTCCGACAAGTACAAGTGTTCAGATGAGGTTATTTCCGTTGCTGCCATGCTTTCTGTGGGGAATTCAATCTTCTACCGTCCAAAGGACAAACAAGTTCATGCTGATAATGCAAGGATGAATTTTCATACTGGCAATGTGGGTGACCATATTGCTTTAATGAAGGTTGGTTATTTGAAGAATAAATATTTGTTTATAAGGATTGGCACTCCTTACTTACGTTCAAGCTCTTGCATTTTACTAACTTGATAAACATATGCTGGTCAATCCGGTTTTTCTGTCTCATTTAAAATGTTAAACTGAGCAGTTGTAATTTTTTATTAGGATTTGTAGTGTAAGTGTCCTTAAGATTGCACCTTTTAGATTGCCTGCTCTCCCCATTTCCTCTTTGTTTCTTACATCTGTCAATGCATTGGATTGTAGATTATTATTTATTGTGTGGTTCAAGTCATTTTTGAAAAGAGGTTTGTTGATCCTTTTCATTGTTGTTATTTTCTAGGTTTACAACTCTTGGAGGGAAACAAATTACTCAACACAATGGTGTTATGAAAATTATATTCAGGTATAATGCTAATTACCTTGATTTTGTTATTGTGCGGACTATTGTCAATGCTTGTGCTTTTGATTGAACTGTGCTTAACTTTTTTTTTTTAAACTTTTAAGGCTTTTTTTCATTTACTGAGTTTTAAAATGAATATCTGACTTTATACTTGTATCTGTTTGTTCGCAACTTTTGCAAATGACATATACATATATGATATTTCGTGGCTTCCTGGTGTTCCTTTGTTTCCTATTTGTTGATAACTTATTATTTCTATTTCTTTTGTTATTTGTGATTTCAATTTGTTTAGGTCAGGAGCATGAAGCGTGCCAGAGACATTAGAGATCAATTAGAGGGTCTTCTGGAGAGAGTTGAAATTGAACTAACATCCAGTTCAAATGATTTAGAGGCTATAAAGAAGGCCATAACATCTGGTACGTTTCGCAAATATATATCGTTTGCAGTATCTTTGAAATGGAAGTGCTCCAGTTGTTGACTGTAAAGTTCAACATCTTCTTTCAGGATTTTTCCCTCATTCAGCAAGGTTGCAGAAAAATGGTTCTTACCGGACTGTGAAGCATCCACAGACCGTCTACATACATCCAAGCTCAGGGTTGGCACAAGTAAGCTGAAGTCCAATTAGTTATTTTTATGATTAAATTTAAAGGAATTAACTGCCAAATGTAGTGCGTGATTAACATAATTGCTTCTGCAAATGTTTTTAAATTTTTTATGATGACTAAAAAGTATGAGAATTGCCTTCTTATGCTGTTGCATAGAGTGAATATGGTAGTGGTTTATCATCCTGTCTGTCATTCTGATCTGAAGAAAAACTAAATTTAGCCACTAAAGTGGGTTTGTCCATTCTACCTTGATGCCATAATTTCATCTACGGTCAATTGACAAGTATCCAATTGCATAAGCCAATGTTCAGCTGCATACAATTGACATGTCTATTAAGGATGGTTGTGTGTGTTCTGCTTTTATTTTTCTTTCCTCTCCTTCTCTCTGGGTGTGGGTGGATCAAGTTTGGTGATGCCTCCAATATAAAACCAAGTCTTGTGATGTTCCACACTGTTTACAAAATTTTTTGCTGTCCTCAGGCGCTACCAAGATGGGTTGTATACCATGAATTGGTTCTTACCACCAAGGAATATATGAGACAGGTAAGCATCCTTCCTCTTGAAATATAAAAATAACTTATGCCAGGTCTTTGCTTAGATGTGTTGATGACCAATGCCAAAACCTGGGAGTTCAATTGCAGGTAACTGAACTGAAACCAGAATGGTTGGTGGAAATAGCCCCGCATTACTACCAGATGAAGGATGTTGAAGATGGTATGCTCTTTCTCAGTCCCCCTCAAAATCTTCAACCCTAGTTCCTCCGATTGCCTTCTCACCCTCCCTTCGATCTCTATTTCTCTCTTCCACACATACACACGGTTCTACCATTCTATGCATTCAAGTGCATTCTGATGTTTTGTTTCATCATGGTTAATGTTGTTGGGGACACTAATTGATTAGCACAACATTAATCTCTTAGATGCATATAAATTTCTTGTCAATTAAATATAATTAAATCTTTTATGTCAAAAAGAAATCTAATTAAATCTTTAGTAATAACTTGACTCCTCCCAGAGTTCACACTTGGGGTTCCTTAGGAGTCACTCCTAAGGTTGATTGCTTTACACAATCATAAGAGGAATAATGTTGGAAATTGTTACTATTGATAAGCTGTATAAAATTAAAATAAGATAGTACTTATAAGCTAAATTCTTAATCCTAGTTTAAATACTAAATACCGAACATAACTCTAAAGCTTTAATACTTGGAAAATAAAGAAAACACTAGTTGATATAAAATAAAAGGAGCAACATAAAAGTAGTTTAATCCCTCAATTAGATTCTTTGGATTCTTTATCATCACCCTATTTCATTTTTACGAACCATCTGCTTGTTTTCCAGTAATATATTTCATTCCTTGAATAAAATTTGGAGATAGCATTGGTTGCTGTGCTTTACTCAGATTATAGTACTGATATATTTACTCTGCATTCACATATTGAGTGAAAATGACTTTTAAGGAATTGTGTAGCAGCCACTGGAAGTGGTGGATCTATGCTCGTTGTTACATGATAACCATCTGTATAGAATGCTTGATTTGTGGCATAAAGTGTTTGTATTTAGTGTTTAGAATGCATAAATAGGTGGGGCATTTTTCTCTATGCAGCTGGATCAAAGAAAATGCCAAAGGGACAGGGGCGTGCAGCAGAGCAACCATTGGCTTCTGCTATGTCTTGAGAGGGGCGTGATTGCTTTGGTCTGTTGGTAGAGTACTGGAGTCTTAGTTCTAGAGATCAGGATCAAATCCTGACAGTCTCAAATACCAAAAACAGAAAAGAACAAAAAAAGGAGAACAATTTGGTGTGCACAGCTTGTTTTGGGACACAAGTTCTTGAGGACAACTGTAAATACAATTTTGTAGGAATTAGCTCCATCAATTTATCATCATAGTTAAAACAAGCTAACATCTTATTGTAGATGATTCTGTTGTATAACGCGATTATGATAGTAAATTCCCAATTTGGGATAAAAGAGTCAATGTAATGTTTTCTTTGCTGGTTTTATTTTGTAAAAATTTCATGGGATATGGATTGCCAGATTGCCATGTTTCATCACCATGCTTTGTTCATCTTTGATTTCAACCTTTGCCTACTGTGATAATTGTGGTTGGGCTTTTGTCACTTTTGGGTGTGTGCTTTTGAATCCTATCTTCCTGGTTGTTGGTCTTCCTCAAAAGCCAGTATTCAGTGTAAGCTCGTAGATTTTTTTGGTCTTTCATGTTTAGCAGCGGCTACATCCTTTGTTTCTGGTCCAAATTTCTCTTGTTAGTGACACACTCAGCCAAGTTTGATGACCATTTGATTCAAACACAAGCAATATTTCTGTTACTATTGCTGTAGGTGGCCAACATTATTTAGCTCAAGTAATCAAGTTTCTTGGGCAAATAATCACAGATTGCAGATTCTTGCATTCACATGAAACAGCATATCTTTTTTTTTTTTTCCTTTTTTTTCTTTGACATGGCAAATAGAAAAGATTTTTAATCAAATATTAGATCACTCCATTTATGTATTCATGTTATATCTGTTTTGAGTCAAATACGTGTAAAACATAAAATTTATTGTGTTACAATTTATATGAAACATAAAATAATTTTTTGGTTTTTTTTTTTTTCAAATTCATATAGGATTTTTGTTAATTTTAAGTCTATGTTTTTTTTTTTTTTTCGTATTATTTTCGTATCGTATCATTATATTAATGTTTAAAATTGTTAGATATATCAAATATCTGGAGTGCTAGGAATCATATACGATGAAACATTGCTAATTTATTAATATAGCGGCCTGTGTCGATTTAGATAGGTAGAAGCTTGGTCTTAAAAATTTAAAGAATTAAAATGAGCCTCCCAACCCAAAGTATGGTTCTAAGACCCCGAGAAAGCAGAAGAGATCTGTTATGCCACAGCAGGCATGTCCTTCAACCAAGGATCGAGGGGCTTCCCGATTGAATACACGATGAAACCAATCTCCCTCAACTTCTCAACATTCAACACATTACGACCATCAAACACAAATGCAGGCTTTTGCATGTTGTAAAAAATTCTTTGGTAATCAAGTGTCTTGAATTCATCCCATTCGGTAAGAATGCACAAACCATGAGCATCCTTGGTTGCTTCATAAGCATCCCAAGCTACGCTCACTTGCTTCACGGCAGTGGGGCTCATTGGCTGGAGATGAATGGGATGATCCCAATCAAACTTGTTCATTGAAAGGTCCCGTTGGATCTGATCTCCAGTGACCTGAGGGTCATATATGCTCAACCGTGCCTTATCACCCAACAGGCCTTTGCACACGTCAATTGCTGGTGTCTCCCGAGTGTCACCTGTACCTTTCTTAAAGGCAAATCCCAGGATAGCAATTTTCTTGCCTGAAACTGTGTTGAACATCGAAGAGACAACCCTGTTTACGAAACGGTTCTTCTGGAAGTCATTCACCTTAATAACTTGTTTCCAGTAGTTTGCAACTTCAGGTAGTCCGTTGCATTCACAGATATAGACCAAGTTGAGTATATCCTTTTGAAAGCAGGATCCGCCAAAACCAACACTTGCATTAAGGAACTTAGGTCCAATTCTTGAGTCCTTACCAACAGCACGGGAAACTTGAGAAACATCTGCCCCAGTAGCCTCACAGAGAGCTGACATAGCATTAACTGAAGAAATCCTCTGAGCCAAGAAGGCATTGGCTGCAAGCTTTGACAGCTCAGCTGACCAGAGATTGGTTGCAATGATTCTGTCTTCTGGCACCCAATTAGCATAAACATCTTTCAGTGCTTGAATTGCCTTTTGGCCTTCAGGGGTTTCCCTGCCACCAATGAGAACCCTGTCAGGGTTAAATAGGTCCTGAATTGCAGTTCCCTCTGCAAGGAATTCTGGATTTGATAGAATTTGATACTTTATGCCCTTGCTGTTGTGCCCCAGGATTTTTTCAATCGCCTCAGCTGTTTTCACTGGGACGGTTGACTTCTCAACAACAATTTTGTTGGATTTTGATACATCAGCAATCATCCTGGCTGCACTCTCCCAATATGTCAGGTCTGCAGCTTTGCCAGCCCCAAGGCCTCGGGTTTTTGTTGGTGTGTTCACAGAGACAAAGGTTATGTCTGCTTCAGAGACATGCTTTTCAATGTCAGCGCTGAAGAAGAGGTTCTTTCCTCTGCACTGCCTGACTACCTCATCAAGACCTGGCTCATAGATAGGAAGCTGGTCACTATTCCAGGCCGAGATTCGAGAAACCGAGATGTCAACAACAGCAACTTCAATGGAGGGGCACTTGAGGGCAATAACTGCCATCGTAGGACCACCAACATATCCAGCTCCAATGCAACAGATCTTCACCATTTTCTTCAGTTATCTAGAACCTGAAACAATGAAATTGTTATTATGTTAGACAAATGAGAATTTAAAACAAGAAGTTAAAAACCAAGACATTAAGATGGCTCCAAGGCCTTAGATTGCTTTTCTTAAATCTTATGATTTATGAAAAACTAGAATAGTTTGCCACCAATATCAAGTACTAGATCTACCAAAATGATCTGAAAGAACTGATCTTTTCTAATGTGAAATCAAGAGATCCACCAACTACTCTAAACTACCAACATATCATGCATATCACTGTTACATAAAATCATGAACAACTTCTTTTAGAAAAGAAATTCAGTAAGTAAAATAGAAACATTGAATATCAGCTAAAGTTTCTGCCCACAAACACTACTTCCAGTATATTTTGCTTTGCAGAAAAAAGACCAATTGTTGTAACCAGTAACCACTGAAACAGTGCGTGCAGAACTAAAGAACTAGAATTCTTGCTTTCTTTCAATGAATTTCTACCTTGAGTGTTTTGGTGATAGAAGCTATGAAAAGTTCTTAATTTCCAAATCAACAGCATGTATTCATAATCATAGCTTCAAAATCAAATGGAGAAGCAACTGCTTCAACCATGTACTTGGGAATCTCCTACAGATAAATCATATCAAACGCAATACGACCAAAAATTATTTAGAAATGACAAGAAGAACTTCCCTTCAATAGAACATTCAATCAAGTCTACTAAAGGAAAACAAAAACAAATGATATATGATCAAGAAAATGTCTAACAGGACTCTACTTGTACCTTAAAAGATTTTCCTGAACACTGAAAAAAAATACCAAGAACTTAAAGAAATTAAGCAGGGGAGGAATGTATTAATGAATGGGCCAGAAATATTGTAATATCATATATAGAGGAAAACCAAGTGCTCCTTAGATCTAATATGTTCCTTTCACAAAGCAAAGGGAAGTCAGATTGAAAAACAGAAGTGGAACGTTCAACACGTTTCAAAGACAAACACTCGTCAGAAACAAACAAAAGAAACTACTTGCACAACTTTCATTTTGATCATGCTTGGTTTTGTGTAAAAGTAACTGAAAAACGACTCGAAAATATTGGTAGTATTTGATTTCTTTTCTTTTTTTTTTTCAATAATTTTTTGATTTATTTTGAACAAAACCCATTTCATTAATGTCCATTAAAAGTCAGCTTTGCAAAAGAACAAGTTGTTTGTTTTGAGTATCAATGTTCTGACAGGTTAGAAAAATGGCTACACAAATGGGCAAATGGCTTGACTTTGACACCAGGCTGAAACTCCCAACGTAACGTTTTTTTTTTTTTTTTTTTTTTACATTAATTTAAAATCGATTAATTTAAATTAACATAAAATCTTATGTAAACCACAACATATACATTCGAATTTCTCGATGTAAGAAGTCTGCCCAATACCAAATATGAATCTCACTTATTTAAAATGTTTAGACAATACTTTTGATAGATTCGTTACTAATGATTTACGGAATAAAAAAAACATATTTTTATATTTTTGGTTCAAAAATAGGATATATCATTAACTCAAAATCCATTAATTTCAATTAACGCTAAATCTTATATAACACACATGTAATGTAACTATTTTAGATAGGGATTTTAACTCATCTCCCTTTAATAAGACACACAATATCTCAAGAAAAAAACAGAAAAATAACAGTTGTGATTTTTCTCAAGTACTTTAGACAAATTAGTCCTTCAAATTTGAGTTTTTTTCAAATGTTCTTTTTTTTTTTTGGTAGTGTCAATTTTGAGTTAGAAGAGTTTGAAAGTTAATGCCCATTTTTTTCTTTGAATGATGTGATTTTATGGGTGCATGATGGCACTAGAAACTAAGAAGCATGAAGAAAGAAAAAAATTGAAGGAACTGTTTTGGAAATTAAGCTCTCAATTATTGAGTTGTTCACCCTTATTTCATGTATTTATATATGGCGAATACAATATAAATTTATCTAATTATTTCAACTGCTACATCAAAATTTGTTCTTTGTTAATAATCATATGATTTATTAATAAATTATTAGATTTTAAATTTCACTAATTAAGATTTAATTCACGACAATCTCATTTGTCACATTTTTTTACCTTTAGGAATCATCACAAACTAATAACATTGAAATCTTCCAAAAAAAAGCTGGAACTAAAAAAATCTAAATACAAAATTGTTTGCATTTAATTTTAGTACAGTTATTAAAGAAATTACTTTTTTTTTTGCCCAAATTCAGGAAATTACTTTTTGATGGGCAAATAATATGTCGTTAAGCAAATTCCGATGAAAGGGAAGCCTAGGAGTTGAGGAACAACGTGCTCGGTGAGTTGAAAAGGGTTTTGTTGAGTGAAATGAAAGCCAAGCTATAATTTATTAATATTAATTAATTATTACTTATAAAAGCAATACAGGAAACAGGAAGAGAGGCGGAAGGGAGGGTAAGACAGATCTAACCAATGATCGATCTATCTCGAGTTGGGCAAATTAGCATTAATCTGATTTTTTCTAACCATATCGAACTCAACCTGTTTAGTTCAGAGCAAATTAGTAGGAGATCGAATCTTCCTTTCCTATTTTTCTATCCTTTTATCTTTTTTCACTCTCTTTCCTTTTTTTTTCTCTCTCTCTATTTTTTTTTTATTGTTTTATAGAAAAGAATTTATTTCATTTTATTTCAAAACTAAAAAGATAAAAAATAATTCTTTATTTTTAAATAAAATTATAAGGAAAATTTTTTTTTCATTTTTCCAAATAAAAAAATATAACACAATATATATTTTTTATTTAAATATATTATTTTTCCCTTAATTTTCTATTTTTTAAATTTCAAAAATAATTTTTTATTGGTAAGTTTCTACTATTATGTTTGTAATACGACTAATGTTGTGAGTCAACATGACAATTTAAAAAATATTAACTTTTTTTATTATTTATTTAATTTTATATTTATATATATATTATATAGTCAGGTTTAAGTTGCATTGTCTCAACTGATTAGATTTTATAATTTCTTTTATTATTTATTTAATTTTATATTTATATATATATGTATTA